TGGCTGATTTCATTCAAGGAAAGGACGAAAAAAGCCCAGAGCAGCTCTCGCTGACTGTGGTAGCGACATCTGACAGAATTATTGACCTCATTTGGAAAACACCAATGGTATGACAAAGTATTCAGATTCTTCTAAGGACACTGCTCCAGGAATTTATAGCTGTAATAATGACAAGTGCTCTCTCTGCAGCGTATTGTCTACAAGATGTCTCTGCATCTCCCCATGGCGCTGCCACTCCCTGAGTTCGAGGGTCTCCCTCCAATCTTGTTAATAGAGCACACTCCCTGCTGACCGCGGCTGCTGCAGGTTCTGACTCGAGCGGTTGACAGTATTTATTTGGTAGTTGTTGTTGTTGTTTTTTAATAACTGGCTAAAACCTGTTGTTTTTCATCTAACAGCTGAATGTAGCTTTTCTGGAGACACAGTGACCACATTCAACAACAGGAGGTACAAGAATGTCGGTCCTCTGTCCTGCTACCAAGTCCTGGCTCAGGATTGCACCGATGAGCTGAAATTCATGGTTCTTCTGAAGAAGGATCACCTGGACCAGAACCATGTCAACGTGAAGATTGCTGATATGTGAGTCTTTAAAATCCTTTAAAAATACTAAAATCTTCTACAAGCATAAGTTGACACAACAAATTTTTTCATTTTTATTTTTGTGATCTCGTAGTGATATTGACCTTTACACAAAGGACAATCAGGTGGCTGTGAAGGTCAATGGAAGGGAAATACCCCTTGAGAACCTGCCATACCAGCATCCCTCAGGTTCTTATATGCATTCACTACACAAACAAACCTTAAATGTCAACTAAATAGATGTAAAGTTTTTTTTCTCACTACATAACTATTAACTAGTTAAACTAGTCTTGTATCACTTCTGTGCATTACATAATCACATTTGTTTCACCTTGCAGCTAAAATCCAGATCAAATTAAATAGTGAAGGAATTTCAGTGCTTGACCACACTCACGGTCTCCCTGAGGTTTTCTTTGACAGGAACTCATGGAAGGTAAGGATGTGACAATCTTAATAATTAATATTCAATAATTGTGTTTCTGTAATAAAAATAGGAAAAATTGAAAATCTGACATTTTGTTTGATTGCATGAAAAAAAACCCCACAAACGTATATCTTTGTCTCACAGATTAGAATTGCAGACTGGATGAGAGGAAAGACCTGCGGTCTATGTGGAAAGGCTGATGGGGAAGTGAGACAGGAGTTCCGGACCCCTAGTGGACGACTGACCAAGAACGCTGTCAGCTATGCTCATTCCTGGGTTCTGCCTTCAGAGAGTTGCAGAGACACCTCTGGTGAGACAACACATTTACTGTGAAATCCTGGTTCTCTTGATGGTTTTGTCCGACTGATGATTTCCTGAACTCCTCTTTCAGAGTGCCATCTGAAGCTTGAGTCTGTGCAGCTGGAGAAACAGGTCAATATCCACGGACATGAGTCCAAATGTTATTCTGTTGAACCCGTGCTGCGCTGTCTGCCCGGCTGCCTACCAGTGAAGACCACAGCTGTGACTGTTGGCTTCCACTGCCTGCCTGCAGGTGAGTCTGTCACCTTTTGTCGAGCCCCCCTTCAAAACTTCTCCACGCTTTATATGAAACACTGTAATTCCTGATGTTTTCCCCTAACATTTAAATGTGTCGTAATAAGCCAACTGTGAGCGGCCTTGCCTTCCATTTGGGAATCCCTGATCTAGGTGATGAAGTGAAGTGCGTGAGGAGTAAAAATAATTTTCTCAACTGCTCTGCTTCAGATTCTGCGGTCACTCAGGAACGACAACATCACAACATCTTTGACGACAGTGTGGACCTGAGGGAGACTACAGAGGCTCACCTGGCCTGCACATGCACAGCGCAGTGTGTTTAATGACACTTGATTTGCTCACTTCTGTGTACGAACACTAAAAAATAAAAAATAAAAATAAATGGTAACTGTGAAAACGTCCAATGTGTCAAATGTCTAACTTGCAGAATGCTAGGGTTTTATTTGAACTGTGGTTCTTTGTTTCATGTCAAGCTGAAATGTAGAAACTGGGTTTAGAGAGGGTTCTCATTTGAGTTAGTGTTGATAAAAAAAAAAAATTCATGAATAGGATTCTTATCCACAGCTCTAGGGCTAAACACAAAGAACAAAAGTGTAAGCGCTTTCACAAGTATAGTGGATTATCTGTTCTTTTTTATCAATATTTCAGAGACAACATCTCAACTGCATCAATAACTGATGTAACTGGGTACATACACGATAAAAAAGAAAAAAGAACATAAAATAAATATTTTCCACTGATCTGTGTTAAAGATGCATTTTCAGTATGACTCTACACATTTTATATTTAAAAAAATCGCCGAATATTTCGCAACCAAATACAGGGCAGAAATCCCGGGTGTGTGCCTCACTTCTGACCGCGAGATCCAAAACAAACTGACGCTTACCCGGGGAGGCAAACAGCATTCCGCCTCACCTCAAGGGGTCGTACGTGAACTGACAGGTGCTCTCCAACTGGAGTCAACAAACACTTCAGACGGAAACATTTCTCCAAACTGGACTTCCGGTTCAAACAGAGGGCGACAAGTGAAGCTAACGCCGGAGCTAAAAGGTTAGCTTCAAACTACGGGACAGAAGAGTCGTTGTTTTTAAATGTAGAGGTACAAACGAAGAGACTGTCTGTGTGTCTGTCCTGTCAGAAACCGCTATTACTGCTGTCCTTGTTTTTTATTGTCGTCGTGTGATAACGTCTGGACGCCGGAGCTAACAGGTTAGCTTCAAACTACGGGACAGAAGAGTCGTTCTTTTTAAATGTAGAGGTACAAACGAAGAGACTGTCTGTGTGTCTGTCCTGTCAGAAACCGCTATTACTGCTGTCCTTGTCTTTTATTGTCGTCGTGTAATAATGTCTGGACGAACTTGGAATACTGTGACCTGAAACATTTATAAAGAAGCCTCAGCAGACATGGAAGATCAGACACGAACATTCAAAGACAGATTTATTTAGAAACTTCTGGAAATTCAAGTATCGATTTGTCATAGGATGAACAACGGAGACTAAACATTAGCCTCGACGATGTTAAGGTGAGGGGAAACCGAGAGACACAATCACGGACTTCAGCTAGAAGGAAAGTTAAGGCTAACTATGGTTTTTAAAAATAAGATGGGAGTAAGTAGGTTGGTTAAAGCATCAAAATTTAAAGTTTGAAAAATAACTGAATTTTTTCACGAATGTCCAAATTAAATTTGTGCTGCACTCATCTCTAGACTTTAATTTGTTTACAGTAAATATGAATTTCTTAGACACAGGAAGGTGTTCTGTCCATTTCTATAAAGAACCGTTCTTTGTAGAACAAATGTGTTCCTGTGTATATGTTGGTGTCAGTGTCATTGAAAGAGGAATGTTGATGGATTTGAACCATAATCAGGTGATGATGTTTAATGAACACTGAAATAAGATGCTCTTTTCAGTTCTTCTGGTCTGTTAATATTGTAGCACATGAAAACCAGATCCTACATATTTCCCTCTGCAACCAAAAGAGTTCAGTTGTGCCATTTGTTTAGAACTGGCAAAAAAAAAAAACCCAAAAAACCCAGTAAGACCTGAACAGACATATTAACTGCCTGGAGAAGGAAACAAGACAACAAGACTGAACAGATAAGTTTTTATTTAGATTAGAAGAAAATACTCTTTAGCAGTAAATGTACAATTAAAAGCCTGTCATAGTAGTACACATACTATATTCCACAAAGAGACCTGCTTGATGTTTTAGTTTCTATTCAGTGGAAGAGCTTTTCAGTTTATGTTCAGCTTGTGTTCTGCAATTTGTGCAGCATAGCTAAATTATCTCTTCAGAGCCAGTTATGGGTCACAACCCAATGTTTGAGAAACACTGCTGATGCATGGAATACTAAAAATAAAATGTGAATTAAAACAAGGGAAAGAAAATAAAAATGAAAAGAAAGTACATTCACTCTGACACCTTTAAACAGCACAAAATAAACATATTTTAATTCATCATTGTATTTAAGCTATTTTTTACTCTGGAAAATGACAAAAGCAAAATTCATATTGAATAGTATTTTTTCTTTTTGCACTTTGCACTAATGACATCATTTAAATTCCTTTATCACATTGAATTAACAGCCAAACATATACATTCTTATTATTTAGTCTTTAGTCCCGAGATTATCGCTACTTTATAAACTATAAAGAAAGTACAAAGAACGAAACCTACTGTAATAAATAATATCAGCATAATATAAATTACATCCACATCCACCCTTTAAATGAGAAACTTGTTGTTAATGATACCTTTAAAAATACATTGAAGTTTTAAAAGATCATTTTAGACAACGTTTCTACTGCAGCATCAGAGGAAGAAACGTTTTGTTGATGTTCAAAACAACAGTCAGAACTGTAGTTAGATACAAGCTAGTGTATGTGTAGTGTGTGTATATTTGAAGATGAAGTTACAAAAAAGGAAAAAGACCAAGTTTGACTCCATGTCACACAGAGCTGTTCTCTTCCTGAGTGACTTTGTTTCTGCCGTTTTCATACAGGCTGAAAAACACAATTTACAAGAACACTTTGTCTATTAACTAATTCATGGTATTAAATATTCCAATTATACATTAGAAATATTTTGAATCCTAAATCACCTGTTTTCTGAGTTCCAGAGGTCGTGCGTGGGGGAGGCTGTGTTCGCCGGGCTCCTCACGATCTTTTCTGGAGATGACGTCGCTCCAGCCTCTGTGTCTGCTGTTAAAACAGAATGAAAACGTAGGTAAATGATCACTCTTTCAAAGGCCAAGGTTTTCCTTTTCAGTCAGACTATTTGAGCACTTACATATCAAGAAGGCACTTTTAGATTTTGGTGGTTTAGTATCAGGAAATGGACTCAAATTTAAAAACTGGTGTTTGAGCCACGTGGCACGATCCTCTTCAAAGGCCTGCCTCTGTCAATCACAGCAGATATTAGTCATTAGAAAAACAGGAATCAACAAAATGGACTTGGCAAAACATTTTTCATTTAATTGTTGACTTAAAAATAAAACAAAAATGAACCTGTTGACTTAAAAATAAAACAAAAATGACTTTGATGAAGACTTTCTCTTCATCCATCATTTTCTTTTGTCCATATTTGTTTGGTTTATCACCTCTTGGCTCAGTCTTATGGCCGCCTCTGTAAAGTTCCTTCTCTCCCTCTCAAAGCTCTTCCTCTGTTCCTCCAGGTTCTTCCACTCTCCTCTGAGACGCTCTTTCTCCTGGGACCTGTAGCAGTCACTCAGCAGGGAGTCACACGGGGAGCTGAACTGCTGCTGCAAATACACAGGTAAATGGTACCATTTGGTTCATTTGGTTTTTTATTTTCTCTCACTTGTCTCTTTGGAAAATGATTTGATCCCTGTGTCTGGTAAGTAACCTATTAAAACTACTCAACTAACCACTGTGGAAAAATAATGTGCATGAAAAGATATAGACGTCAGATTTCTTGCCTGCAGCAGCTGTTGTTGTGTTTGTATAAAGTCCTTGCACTGCCGGATCTCCAGCCTCAGTCTGTTCATCTCCTCCTCGTGATCTCCTCCAGCAACCACAGAGTTCTGACTCTTATCCATTTGGGCCAGAAATGCTGCACACAAACATCAAAATAATTTAATATAAAACTAGATAATATTCACCTGATTTTTCCCCCTGGTGGTTTCAATACAGATGTCAATTATTTATTGATTTGAAATGTTTTGCTGGCAATATTATTTCAATATTTTTATGTCAGTGATCGCTTCATTTATTCTGTTTTTCAAGGACATAGGCCTTGAAAGCTTTAAAGTTCACTTCATATCTCAACGCGAATGAATGAATGAATCGGGTTTCCTTTAGTTACATGTGACTTTTTTCTATATTCTCATTGAGAGAGTGTGAAGGTTCAAACATGAACGTTGTTGTAGTCTACCTTGGCTGTCCAGTCTTTCCACGTGACTCTTGAGTCTTCTCCACTGTAGGCGGATACTGTTGGTCAGCTGCTCTCGAGCATGGACACAAAACAGCTCTGTTCCCTCCTGACTGTCTTCTTCCTCTAAATCAGCCTAAACCAAATAAAGAACATTTAGTCTTAATCTTATAAGCAGCAGAACCAAGCAGATCATAGAGCAAACCATATTTTTCTGTTTTCTGCCACACTCATGTCTGTGCTTTACAGACGGCTGTAAATCATTGCTGCCACCTAGTGGATATCTTTTTATGTTGGTAAATTGCTCACTTGTAACTGAGAGGAAACGGAAAAAAACCATCTTGTCTTACCTGTGTGGTGGTTTCTTCTTGTTTGTCCCCTGTTAGCTTTAGTTTGCTTGACACTAAAAGAGACACAATTTCCTTTTTCATTTGCTGCAACACTTTTCTCAGTTCTGCATTTTCCAGCACCAGCGCCCTCTGGCGGCTGTCGTAGTCACTCAGCAGAGTTTTGTACATCTCTCCTTCATGTCTTAAAAATAGCACAGGAGACATAAATAAATTACATAAATTCAAATGTATGCTTTCATTTAGTAAGATGAAATAATATCTTTTTCAATTTTTAGTGTCAAAGATGTTCTTCAGTGTCTTTCAAATACTTTGCTTCAGTCTTGTCAGTTTTCCAAAGGCTTCTCTTTCCGTCCGCTCTACCAATGTTGTTCAATACATCAATAGCTGCAAGAAACAATGACAGAGAAATAGAAGTTAAGGCGTGGGCAAAAGAAAGATGTGAAACACCTGGTCTGTGGTATGTGTGAGGTAGAATGAAAAAAAGTGTTATTCTTTATTCACTTTACAAAATAGTCTGGATTAATTTTTTGGACTTTATATAAACTAACATTGAAACTATGGAACACATTTGAGCAAAAAACACAGACACAGAACAACAGGATTTTAAAAATCACTTTGTTTCTTGTCTTTTTTGTCAACCAGAAGTTGATTGAGACGTTCTTTGAGTTTGTAGAATTCTCTTTCCTTTCTCTTCATCTCATGGTTGTACTGACTCGCCCGACTTGCAATGATGTTCTGAAGTTTTTGCACCTGACAGGAGTAAAAGTGAAAAGTGACAAAATGTTTAAAATATTGTGTTATTATCCAAACACCAGGATGATTTGACACAGGACGTACCTCCTCCTTTTCATTTCTGACGCGGTTCTGTAGACTTTTCACCTGGACCTGCAGCTGCCGCTCTTTTTCCACAAGACCTATGTTTTCTCTTTTGGAAACTTCAAGCTCTTCCTACAAAAACGTGGTTTCAGTACAAAGATCAAAAATGTGAAATGAACCAAACACAAGTTAAAAGTTTGTAGAGTTGGTTTGTACCTTTAGCCTGGTGCTAGCGAGCTGCAGAACGGCTGCGTTGCTGTTTAGCTTATGCTGCTCTAATTCCAGGTTTTCTAGGGTTCTGACAACTTTGTGATGACGTTGAATCAGTTCATACATGCAGTTTAACACAGCTACAGCGTTGAGCTCTGAGCAGCTGACGGACGGTGCACAAACGGGTTGGAGGCCAAGAGATGCCAGCTCCTGTACAAACAAGAGTACAAGTATAATTTTTTAAAAGTATAAATGGTTGTTGTGGTAAGATTTTTTTTTTTTTTTTTTTTTAGATTTGCACTTTATTAACCATTAAATATGTAGTTTTTAAATATTTAATGGTTGTTGTGGTAAGATTTTTTTTTAGATTTGCGCTTTATTAACCATTAAATATATATTTTTAAAATATTGTATGTGTTACACTTTTCAGTCATGGTCAGAAATGAGCAATGAAAAATTTCATTATCATTTTCATATTTGAAGCTTTTTCCACAGTCATTTCTCAAGATGTGATGTACATAAAATGTCTATCATCATTAGATCAAATATAGTATACAGGTAGATATATTCGTGTTTCTATTTAAAACATGTGGAATATTTGTGAAAAAATGCCTTATCAAGCAAAAACGTGCAGTACCCAAGCAGACACCATAGGGGTTGCGAACCCTGTGTTGATAACCCTGTGTTGAAGTTGCCTCATTGCACCCAGCTGACTGCATTGCCCTCGTACTGCACATGCATTAGAATGATGATTTTGAACCTACTGTTGAAGTGAGGTCACTCACCTGGTTGATGTGTAATGCACACTGTTGCACATTTGTCTCTGTGCAGAAAGATCCAAACATGCAGGAGTTTCTGTGCAGCAGCAGCGATGATTGGTAAATCTGCCTCAGGGGGGACGTTCTACATTCAGCAGAGCTGCTGTAAACGTCCTTGACTTTGACGGAGGGAGGAAGAAATATTTGTTTAAATTCTTAAATGCCTTTTTCTGGTTAAAGACAAACCATAAACAGTGAATAATTCAGAGTAAGTTCAACAGACGTGTTGGTTTATGTAACAGTACGTCATTATTCACACTGTTATAAATAGAGCAGTTAGACTGAACTAAAAAGAACTGGAAGCAGACAACTGTGATACTATGCTCCAGATACAGCACACAGTTAAACAAACACAACATACTCTGATGGTAAAAACTCACCCACAGAAGACTCCGGCATCGTTGCAGTGCTGCCTTCACGCTACGTGCCTGGATCATCTACCACGTGTGAAGCACACACTAAGACACACACAGAATCCACATTTGCAGTCTGTTCCTAAAATACAAGGTCAGATTAACAGTGCTCATTCGACGCAGCCTGGATTACAGAGCAACTGCAGCAATGGGGGATGGGCAGCAACTTCATTACCTGAGCTACGTTTCACAGTGTGAAACGTAACTTCAGAGTAAAACAATTATTAGTCTTCAACAGTGTCTGCTATGTTTATGTTGTTCCTTCTCTCTGTCAAAGTTCTGCAGACACCAGGTGACATAGTTGGACCAGGACAGTATTTTAGTCTTTTGTCATTAGCTGATCAGACAAATCCCAGACAAGGTGTATTTTCTCTCTCTCATCTACACGTAATCTTTTCTTCCTTTCATATTTTTTAAAAAAAAGGTAATAAATCACTTTCACATTGTTTTAGTCACAGAGATAGGTGTGACTCACTACTTCAGGTCACACACACACACCTTTTCTTCTCAGTGAAATGTAATCAGGGTGGTGAGACAGATGGCAGTCCTGCAACTTCATAGCTTAAAGGCAAAGACGTTCAGGTGCAAAATCCTAACCTGAAATTCAGTGTCTGGTCAAACGTTACTTATTAGGTTTGTAGTTTATTTAAGACAAAAGCTCTTACAGTAGAAAGGAAAACAAAAGAAAAAATAAAATAATCCAGATAAAGAAACTTTATCAGTTACCTGTTTTTAGTGGTTGTACTGCTACTAGAATTACTGCTGCTGCTGCTGCTTTCACAACCAGTAGTAAAGTTTGCTGCTGCTCACTAGCCACACTGTGAAGTCTACTATAAATACAAATAAATTTAAATTTTGTGGGGTTAGTGTTTATGTTCAGGAAAACTGCACATTAGTGTGGGGGGAAAATGTTAAAGATATTTTATGATTTATTTAAAATATGAATTTAGGTGATTTAATTTAGCTTACTCCAAAGCTGAACTCTGTGTAGTTGGAATAGAAACACAATGGAAATACACACAAAAACCTCCACTAAAAACCAACTAAGATGACGTTAATAAACTGTAATAATCGTGTAATTAATGACCCTCACGTTACACCATACACCGCGTTTGCTGCTGTAAAACATTCAACTTCATCCAGAATAACCAGGCAGAGCATTAGAAAAGTCAAACCTTTTCCCGTTTACAAAACAACTGTAGTACATTGTCTTATTAAGAGAAACCTACCGCTTTCAGTTGCAGTTTTTCTTCAAAACACAGGAGCAGCTCCTGAAGCCAGAAACACGCTACTGCTGCAAACCAAAACAGCATGCTGATTGGCTGACTCGTTGTCAAGCAACCAAGGATGGCTCATTTTGATTGGCTGGTTTTAAGAGGCGTTTTTCAAGAGTCTTACAGATATATGGGTGAAATACAGATGCATTAACCTTTCTCTTTCAAAAGTAAGATTATTTTATATTAACAAGAACTTTTATTTTATGTTAACACGATGTGCTTTTAAAGTTACTTAACAGTGAGTATACAGCGCTCTTCATTTGGTCCATACATTCAAATGTTTTGAAAGTTTAGCCAGATTAACACGATGTATTTGTATATTAAATAAATTCGTAGTTTCACGGCAACCATTATCCACAACAATTTATACTTACCGAGAAATAAAGTGCCAACTCCGGGAGAATAACTCAATCTCGACAGCACGGTAGAAATGGCAGTTTGTTTTATCGAATAAAACAAACTGTCGTTTCTACCGAATAATAAAAACAACCGTGTCCACCAGCGGAACGACTACTACATTCTTGCTTCGTATGTATCAGCCTTCAGAATAAGACTTACTGTGCAATCTTTCATTTTTTATTCCAAACAGACACCGAAAGGATAATGTTGACGTTGTAATCGTCAGGAAAGCTTTTACAATAAACCTTTGTTGTAATCGTCAGGAAAGCTTTTACAAAGATCTTCAATTCCCTAAATAAACATGACACATGTTTTTGATTTTAACATCTGGAGAAACAAGCTATTCGTATATTTTTACAGGGATACATAGTATTTAACGTCAAGTTGTACTATTTCGATTACAAAAAAGAAAACGTAAGGCACACATTGACTTAGGGTTAAAGTGAGAGATAGGAACGTTGTTGGCGGAAGTCACGGTGGCCGAGAGGTTTAAGGCGTTGGACTCGAAATCCAATGGGGTTTCCCCGCACAGGTTCGAATCCTGTTCGTGACGTTCTATCAGCTTTTTTATTTAGACCCAATTCATCACGACTTATATAACCGATTCATCACTACTCATGTCTTGGTCCTAATTATATTCCGTGTCAGTTTCACTTTCTGACACTTCTACTTAAGCTATCCCCAGTTTTATCTTTCAGACATTCAGACCCTTTCACTCACCAGTGTGGGATCATATTCACTTCACACAAACTGCAGTGTCAGAAGATGTTGCACTAAGAGGTACAGTATGTTCTATAAGAACCGACATTACTGTAGATGTTCTTCACACTGGGATTCCTTTGGAGTCAAAGATGTGTGTTTGTAGATGCATGTGTGTGTCCATGTGATACATGTTTACCAGAATCCAATAATTATCATCAAGACAGACTGACAGACAGATAGACAGGTAGTTGTGTGGTCTATTTTTCTTTATTTTATTAAAACATTTTTATGACAAATAATCAAACTAGCCTACATTTTCTTATATTATCAAACCACAAAATATTACCTCCATCACATGATTTTTTAATATACTGCAACTAAAAAAAAAAAAATCAAATTCTTCTTCATGTTACCTTGAGGTTAGGGCGGGTAGAAATTCAAATTCTTTGCCCCATACACACCCTCTTTCTACTCCACACAAAGATGACTGAGTTATTAGCCAGTAACAGTTGTTGTGAATAACTTGATGAGGCTTTTGTGCAGTAGAAGTAACCAAAACCAAGTACGGAAAAATGTATATAGCTCTTTAATATCTGCAGAGAGAAGCACTGGGGTTTATTCACTGCATCAACAGTAAAGTAAGTGATGAATAGGGTTGTACAGTTGGATATTTACAGCACACAGTACTTCTGAATCTTTGAGGAACCGTTGGCATGGGTGCAAATATTCTAAAAACAATTTTGGCAAAAGTATCATCATCCTACTTCAACATGGAGCGTAGGTTCATGAATGGGTAACAAGTAAACATCATCTTGCTATGTGTGTGTGTGTGTGTTGCTGTGTGAGTGTGTATTTGTGTGTCCCTCCCTTAGGAATGCAAAGCATACTGCTATTCTCTTCCCTCTGCTGTTTGACCTTACCATGACCACGAGGGACAACGTTTTACAAATGGACTGAGAGACAACAGGGAAAGTTTCCAGAAGGAGGAAGGACATCAGTAGTCGTAAGCTGCAAAAGGATAAAAAGATGAGGCGTTACCCACAATCCACTGCTCAGCCAAAGTTCACAGGGAAGAGGAACATGCGATCCACTTCACAGAGAGATGCTGAAAGCGTGCAGGCATGCAGTCAAACCATGGTGGCCTTACTCTCTATTGTGAGGATGCAGGTACTGGCTGCTGTGCCTCTGCTGTTCACAGCCTTGCACATGTACTCTCCCTCATCCTCAGGGAAGGTCTCAGGCAGGTAGAGACAGTATGTCTCTCCTCTCTCTATGTACTGATAGTCCTCACAATCCTGGAGCATCTCTCCCTCAAACCACCAGGTCACCTCAGGCTTTGGCTCCCCGGTTATTTTAACAGTGAAGCGCACCGGCTCCGAGTCCACCACCGACTGATTCTTAAGTGGCTTTTTGAACCACGGAGCCCCAGACCTGGCATGATCTTCCTCATCTTCATAGGCCGCTGAGCCGTTGATGATGCTGCTCTCATCATCCCCGTCATCCTCCTTCTGCAGAAGAATGAACAAAATGAATCATATGACCTCGCCGGTCTCATAGTTACCTTTTAAACATGCTTTGTGGTCATGAGTGTGAAAGATTTACTTTCTGGAGTGCTGCATCAATTTCCTGCTGCTCAAATTGCATCCTCTGTAGTTTCTGCTCCTCTATTCTCCTCCTTTCCTCCTCTTCTCTGGCTTTGGCCATCTGCTCAAACCGAGCCTTCATGTCTACCTTCTGTTTGAATGGTGACTCCTCAACCTTAACTGCAGTGGCTCCTCCTTCTTCATCCTCCTGAAAAACAGCAACTTACAAATGTAAAACTACGGGAAGTTACAGTGGCATTTTAGTGGCGAATGTGAGAAACCTGATTAGTATTATTCAAATATTCACCTCCAGGAACCTCTCAGCCTCTCTCTCTTTAATTTCATCATCAATGGCTTTCCGTCTGGCTCTTTCCATCTCTATCTTTTTCTGAATTTCTTCTTCCGTCAGCTGCTTAATCTTCTCAAACTTGGTCTTGAGGTTTTTGGCCTGGATGGAGCCAGTTCTCTTGAGCTTGGTAAGCTCTTCATACTCCGTGCTCACAAGATCAGAGCTTTCATTTATTTCCTCCTGTGATAAAGAGACAAATTTATGTCCATGCTGTGATGAAAAAGCAACTGGATTTGCCGTTTAAAAATATTTGTTGACGTCTTAAACGACCGCTCTGGACTGACCTCACCCATCTCTTGTCTTAGTTGTTCAAATTCCTGCTTCTCTTTCTCCAGTTTCTTCTTGCGTTCCTCAGCCTTACGTTGTCTCTCAGCTTCCTGTTTCTCTTTCAGCAGCTCCTCAAAGTTGATTTCCAGTTTCCTGGGGTGCAACGCTTCCTGAGACTCGCTCCTAACCATTCCCTCGTCCTCCTCATCTACCTAGGTTTTTTATGAGAAAGAATTATCAGGCTTTACAATCTTAATCAGCTACACCCACCAACAAGAAAATCATTTTTTACAAAAAGCAGCATAAGCAGCAGCAGCCATTAATATTGCATATGAATAAAACTGATCTTATACAACACATTTAAGAACACAATATCTGGAGATGATGTGTTTTACTTAACTGTACATCTGGAATCAAAAATATCTTACTGTTTCATCTCCATAGGCAGACCCTTCCTGATCCAGGCCAGGGCTCTTAAAGAAATAATTTGGACAAAGAAATAGCAATACAGGTGCACAGTTTGAGCCCAAATAATAATAACATAAAATATACAATTTTTGTTCAGCCACCTGTATTTAGAACCCAATAATATATGTGACTGTTAGATCAAAGTTAGTTCCATCATGATTCAGATGATGAATCTCAGCAGTAGAAAAGCAGCAGAGGCTTAGACAATAACATCACATTTTCTGTTGCTGTTTTTTTTTTTTTTATCTCTGACTGGATGATGTTCACTCACCATACTCTTACGAGCCTCCGCAAAGAGTCTCTTCTCCTCTTCCAGTCTCTTCTTGGCCTCCTCCTCTGCTTTCTTCTGCTCTTCCTCTCTTCTCTGCCGTTCCAGCTCCTCAAAACTGGCACATATCTTCCCGGGTTCACTGCCCTCCAGGTTCAACAAGGCCATCAGCACCTCGTCGTCCTCATCTACCAGCTGAGTCAAAACACAACGAGGGACACTGAGGACCGCAGATGAAGTGGTTTGTGTTTTACTAACAGGAATTTCAAGAACGATTTGAATGTATTGAAAAGCAGTGAATGTTTTCAGTACGCCAACACACTCATCACAAGTTAGACATTAACACTGGAGGTTTTTGTAGAAGGTGTTGCGCAGCCAAAAATGTTTGAGAACCACAGTCTATTTGAATAGACTGCTCCAGTCTACTCACCATGCTCTTCCTGGCTTTGGCGAAGGCTCTCCTCTCCTCCTCCATCCGTCTCTTAGCCTCTTCCTCTGCTTTTTTGCGCACTCCTTCAACTCTTTGCCTCTCCAGCTCTTCAAAGCTAAGCCTCAGTTTTCCAGGTCGGACTTCCTCCTTGTCTTCTTGAGATGTCTGAGTGTCGTCCTCTTCTTCTTCTCCCTGATTAAACGTAGACAAAGCAGAAAAACTCTTCATATAATACAATAAAATAAAATACTGTACAATACAGTACAGTATAATACATCAACATTATAGACTAGTAAATTGTTTTCATTAGTCATTAAAAATAGAGTAACAATGGTGTATTTTATAACTGTGTATTGAATATTCAACGCTCCATTCACTTTTTTTTTTTTTGCCCACCATTTCTAGCCTGGCCTCCTCAAAGGCTTTTTTCTCCTCTTTCAGTCTTCGTTTGGCCTCCTCCTCTGCCAGTTTCTTCCTCTGCTCCTGCCTCTCCTTCTCTGCCTCCTCAAACGTCATCTTCAACTTTCCAGGAGTCACCAGCACCTTCTCTGAGGGCTTCTCCTCCTCGTCCTGATGTCAAACATGATCTCTGAGGGCTTCTCCTCCTCGTCCTGTCAAACATGAGGTACATGATATGAATAACATCTTATTGGTAAAAGCATAACATTATAAAAATATAAACACGTAGGACGTAACATTTGTACCTGATGTACAACGGAGTGCCGTTTGGCTTCTCGGAAGGAGCGTTTGTTTTCATTGTACCGCTGCTTTTTCTCCTCTTCTGCCGCCTTTCTTATTTCTTCCTCACGATTCTTCTCAATGTCTTCAAAGTTCATCTTGATTTTGCCTGGAGTTCGTGATGACTTAGTTGGAACCACACGTACAAGGATCGACTCGTCTCCATCCTAAAGATGAATTTGATAAGGTATTGATCCAAATAAGGAAATAACAATTGCTGTTACTAACACCGTGTTCCATTCATGTGGATACTGTAGTGGGGACAACGACCAATCCAGGTCAGTGTTCTATAAATGCACAGCCAACAGGTATAGAGTCACACACATGCTCCCATCCAGATCTTTGTTAGCCTAATGTTAGCGTTTGCAGTAGTTGAGAGGAATGGGTGTCAGCTTAAGATAGCAGAGTCTAATTCAGTCACAGTAAGGGGTCTGGGGCTAATTTGGTCACACTGTGCTGTGGGAAACAGTTGCCAGTCATATGCTGTCTACACCTGGCGGCTCTGGTTCAGTCGTTGACCCTTATTTTCACTGTGCCGTTACTTCAGGTTAAAGACAGTTTCAGATGAAGATTAATAAACATTTTTCTGTTTGTTAAATATTAAAAATGATTAATAACACATTTTTAAATATATATTTATCAGATCAAATATTTTTGTCCCAGCCTTCTTTAGAGGAAGTAGGTGGAGGTGTTTCAATTTACTAACATATCTGACAAAGTATGTGAATTGTATTTATATATTCTATTTTTTCTTTCTTATTGTTGATCTGATAAATTGCCTCTCTTAAAGAAAAGTAAATTACTATAATAAAATTACTAAGGTTGACACCAGATACATATATTACTAGAGTCACCATTCATACACAGTAAGGTTTATGTGCATGGCCTTAAACATCTGTAACGTCCGAGCTCATGCGATGGAATCAGGACAAGTTTACCATGAGTTCACACATTGGTCGTGTCAACAGTTCTATTTCTGATTTCATTTCCGTCCTCTGCCAACTGTTTGGATCTCAAATGCCAGCCAAAATAACTTATCTGGGGGGCAGCTGAGGATTATCTGAATCATTATATACAGTTGACCAGTACGTCACGACCACAGTCTCCCCTCGTGGTCAGTCTGCCCTCTGTAAATGTCCATCACTCACCTGTGCTGCTTTCTGAGCCAGTTCTTTCTTAATCTTGGCTTTTTCCATGTTGTCTTGTGCTTCTCTTTTCTTCCTCTCTCCTTCCATCCTCTTCCTTTCTCCTTCCTGCCTTTGTTTTTCCATTTCTGCAAACTTCCCCTTTACACTACCTGAGGAGGACACAAGGCTTCAGTCTGTCTCTCAGAATACCTTGTTTCCTGAAACCTTTCTTTGTGTGTCTTACCTGTAATTTTGGGGACGTAGGATTTTTCCACCTTTGTTGGTTTCACCTCTTCTTCTTCATCACTGGAGGCGAGTAGTTCTTTAATCTGTGGCAGATCAGAAAGGGAGTGCGATAAGGACACAGTTTAGCCTGGATCATCTCCTCGGTCACTCTGGGACCACGCTGGTCACAGCAAGAACAAGGGCTTAATCCCTGCTAATAGGTCCGTCATGTGACCTGAAGGTTAGCCTGTGATTGGCTCATGGTGTTGCACCACACACAGGAGGTGAGCGTAGGTGTCTAAGCCTGGCCAGCAATATGATGGAAGTCCACAGAAAGGTTGTTTTGTGGCGCTGATAATCCACTCACGTAAAACCCTATCACTGCATTCATTTTCCCACAGAGAATCCCCTACAGTCAGTAGTTTCATCTGTGAAACACTGAAACAACATCTTCAAAATTATTAAACACTATATCATCTTCATTAGACCAGAATTAGGAAAACATAACTGTGATTAGGGATTAAAGGAAATATAGTGTTACTGTATATATTTACAATTTTTCTCAATCTAATGTTTTACATTTAAAAAAAAGAGATTTCAAAGTGTGATATTAGTGCCTACTAGAGTGATTTTTTATACTGTGCTGCTCATGGAATCCTAGTAATAGAACAAGTGCATTTACTGCTGTTGCTATTCTCTCTCTCTTTCCTAGTCAGAACTTTCCTAGTCGTCTGCATATATTTCTGCTGCCGTCCTTTTAGTTCTGGATAACTGTATGATTTAGAACTATTGTGTGATAGTTAATTGTCACTCACACACTGGGTCATGCTTCACTTTGCATGCAGGTCACAGGCAGATGTTAGTGGACTTTTCAATCTTTGACCTGCTGCTTCCTGCGATTCCACTCCCTCTCCTTGATATACTGCTCTTTCCTCTTCTGCTGCTCGTCCTTGTTCCTCTGCCGACTGCGCTCCTCCCTAGCCTTCTGCATGATCTCAAACTTGTTCCCCACATCGCCTTTTTCTTTGTTCAGCTTGGGCACGTAGCTCCTGGCTACATGTTTTCTGGATCGTAAAAGTTTCTTTGGTAGGATAGCCAAAAAACAATAGAAATAGAAATAGTTGACTTTAAGTATCAGAGTGATATCACTATTTAATACACACGGCGTCTGACATTTCAGCCTCACCTCTTTTTTCAGTGCCAGGTCAGATATATTCTGGTCATTTATTTCATTTGATTCTTCTTGATCTTCCTCCCCATGTTTTTCATTTTCCTGACCATTAAATGCTTCTGAACTTTCTGTCTTAGCTGCGTCTTTTTCTTTGTGCTCCACACCATTTATGTGTGGCTTCTTGGTCTCATTAGATGCAGCATCAGTGTTGTGGCAGCCATATTTGTCCTTGTCCTGTGACGTCGTATCACTCATCTCCTCAGTCTCGTCTTCTTCTTCGTCATGTTCCACTTCCTCCTCCAGTGTGGCATCGTCCTCCCTGTTTTCTGTGTTACTCATGGACTGTTCATTGTCGTCTGTGACACTGTCAATGTCCTGGACAGCAACTGCTGCCACCTGTGCCACCTCCGTCATGTTTGTGCCACAGTGTGAGTTGACAAACAAGCTCTGGAAAAAAGATCAACTGTAAATAAAAATACAAGAATACAGAAAATACAGAATTTGGCTGTTGTGCTGAACTAATTATTAGACCAGTTTAACAAATGGTACGCCGAAAATGTTCATATCATCTCTAACTTCAGTTGAATAACACATTTTTACAAATATTTAGATAATGTTTTAGCAATGTCGGAGCTACAGATCATATTGAAAAATTGTAAATTATTTGGTACATATAAAAACTGTTCATCTTTGCTCTGGTGTCAAGCTGATCGAACACTGTTATTGATTGATCACTGAATTCACTGTGGACCAAGAAGAACAAAAACTCTTATATGTCAGTTTTTTTTTCTTTAACTTTTATGCACTATGGCTACTAATAATTTTGTAGGTCAAATTTGAGAAATTTGAACTCACGTTTATATCCACTATAAATTAAGCAATACTTGAATTCTTATTCTTTTTCTAATTATTAATCAATAATTTTGTGTTTTGTTTTTTTTTCTTCCTGAACTCACCCAATCACTTGGATGTGCTACAGGCACGTCTTGACGTCAGATTCAGATTTAAAAGTGAGGCCCCACTTCCACTTGTTGAGAAAGAGGGCAAAGGAAGTTGCTGACCCCTATTTATAGCCCACTTGTGGACATGTGATCACAGCTATTTCTGATGAGTGGTAGGCAGTGACACAGAGCTCAAGTTGGCACCCACATGTCGCCCCTCAGACCCTTCACAAAATGGCCAGACAAAGAGCCAGACAACTGGATGAATGGTGGGTAGTGTGATTGGCAACACTGGACCTGCTGCTGTTTATCAGTGTCCTTCTGAGATTTGAATTAGTCTGAAATCTGTGTCGAGGTGAATGTTTCCTACTGTCTCTTACATGGTTTTTAAACACATTCAAAAACATGAGTCATAACAGCAGTCAACGGCAGTACGCTGGTTATCATTACAGTATATACAGTTAGGTTGTAATGTTTGTAAAGGGATTTCAAATTCAATGATGATTTCAAATTCTGATCTTAGATGTAAATCTTGGTTTGTTTTGAGTCTAATTTTTTTTCCATTTCCAAATATTTACCATTAGTTGAGATCAGTTTTGAGTTACTTTATTGAATGCTATACCATGCTAGCTACTTACTATTAATACAAAATAACTTTTTGTTATTTCCTGGGACTTTCCTGGGATGTAAGGATGCATCGTGAATTGGTTAAAAATCGATACAAAGTTGTTTGGTAGGAAATTGATATAAGAATAGGCAGAAACTATATACATATGATTCGTGAATTGGTTAAAAATCGATACAAACTAAATAAATATGAATATATCCTTTAATATTCATAAAATCTAATAATGCTTAATTTATGGTTATATTCACTTCAACATATGCATTGTTGTTTACATTGGCCTTCAGTTTTTTGATGATGACTTGTTACATTGTTCTTCTCTGTGTTGGCCAGCAATGTATGACTCAGTGTTATTATTACTTCCCCCGTAACTTGTTGGTTAATGTAATAAAAAATGAATACAAGCAATCATTATCTTATAATTTATTATCAAAGTTAAAACCATAAATTTATAGTAGCTAAACCACTTTTTTTGTTTGTTCTTTTTTTCAGGCTTCAGAAATGGGGAATAGATTATTATTATTAGTGGATCCACATTTTCAAACAAACCTGTTAAAATAATCACCTTATTCTACTTGAAAATAAGGTGCCATTATCACAGGGATTATGGTTAAAGTATAATAGTGTTTTTTTAAGCCTAATAAGTTCGTTTTCTTAAACTATTTCATTTGAAGGAAACGCTTTAGTTTTGACTGGTTGAAGTGCTATTTCTGTACTCAGCTGGCACTACACGTCAGGACTGTCTCTGAAACCCTTACAGTGTCGTACAAAGTGTTAAAGAGTTTTCATTTATGCTTTGCATTCAATTAAAACTCAAATGTATCACGTTAGTAAATGGATGGTCAACGTATTTATCTATAATTATATCGAAAATCATCAGAATAAAAGTTTATTACACTTTGCACACATTGTTATAATTTGTGTGTAAGAAGTGCAACTAATGAAACAATAATTTGCTATTATTTAAATGTGCGCATATTATATTCACTAATTATCACAATTAGTTTAAATGTGCGCATATTATATTCACTATATTATATACATATTTACATTACATATTTACCCTTGCTAACTTATTTTACCGACAAAGTTTGTTTACCTGTTGGATCGATCCTCCGATGACGATTGTAAAAATAAATATTAAAAAAAAAGATATGTGTAATCCGTTGGAAAAGAAATAACAAGAGAATTAAAACTGTGAATGAGAGGAACAGTCCGAGCTGAGAGCAGCGGTGCAACAGCTCCACTGGCTGCTGGTCGTGTGTGTGTGTGTGTGTGTGTGCGTCAGTCAATGCAACGTTTCCATAAAAGTAGCGTTACTTTTACCCGATACTGCCTTCTGCAAGTTCAGCTGTCGTCACGCGCGCGCGCGCACACAAATGTATCTATGTTACTGTGTTTGATAACAGTGGGACTTATGGGTGTTTTATTTGTATTAATGCTGTGAATGGGATGTGTTTATAACCTGTAGTGCAGTTACTGAGGTAATATAGTCGAATTGACCCGGAAATGCTACTAACAGACGTGTAGATAAACAGACAGATGAGTAATTGTAACTTTTAAACCACAATCGTGTTTTTGTTTGTGAATCGTGAACGCACACAAGTCAGAACCACGTTTTTTGTGTATACAGATAATATACAAGGTGGTTGAGGTTGTGTTTGTCAGGCCTCGTTGGCGCAGTAGGCAGCGCGTCAGTCTCATAATCTGAAGGTCGTGAGTTCGAGCCTCACACGGGGCAGCACGTTTTTTTTTCTTACTTGACCGGGAAATAATATCGTTGTAACGCTTTCTTGATTGACCTCTTACACAGTAGCATCAGCATCATTAGGTACATGGTAATAACACGATAAATGTGTCAACGTGGCACATTACTCTTTAAGATACTCTTTGCTGTTATAGTCTGGTAGCATGACAACATGCTTTATCACTATCAGCGTGCCTGTCTGATAGAGCCTGAATTCCCCACCTATCTGTTAAGAGGGATTCCAGCTTCCCCAGAGCTGAGATAATGTGTTAACCTAGACGTCTTTGTCATTGTGCTATGCAATGCAATGAGTCCATTGAGCTCATGGCTTTAATCAAAGACCCAAACACCCGTCCATTTTCCACAACTGTGGTCTCCCTGTTAAAGATAGTGGGAGACTCTTAGTGGGCTTTGATGGAAATGAAAAACCTCACTACTGTCAAATCATACTTCAAATGCACAACTGATGACTCACGAGACAAACAGGCTGTTCTAAGAATTTTACAAGCAAAGAAGAAGAAGAACAAAAGTGTTTATTTAGTCTTGTTTCTATGTGTTTGACACCTGACGTACCAGAGTTTGATGGCTGTGTTATAAGCAGTCTGTCCGATTGGAGCTACTAAGGCTTTTGGGAAACGTACAACAACCAATCACAGACTTACATTGATTCAGTAATTTTGCCACTTCAGTAACCAAAAAAAGTAACGTTTGAGTGTAAAGTACTGTTACGTCTGTGATTGTGTGAACTGTGAACTGTCAGGGAACAGGACTTTTGTCTTCCTGTCCTGCAGGACGTCAGGGACAACAAGGAGACTGCTTTAAATAGCACCACAGCTGTGGCAACTTATCATGGCTTCTGGGACAGCCGACCTGAGTCACACAGGGCACGGGCTGCCTGGTCATCTGTCTCAGCTGCTGCAGCTCGCCCTGACTCCCCTATGAATATTTCTGTGGTGGTATAGCCTCACACCCCATACAGAAGCTTTAAAGTCAAGCTCAGCATGTCACTTTGAGACCACCTGTCCACACCTTCGACTACAGCCAGTCGAAGACGCTATTGTTTTTCCAGGAAAACGCTGATGCTTAATTTCCTACAAAACATTACCTGTAAAAATGTACAAAACACCTACAATTTATTAACGTGGTTATTAGATGTCAAGTTTTAATGGCATCTCTGCTTTGGAACAAAATGTGTGCCATCTGAATTTTAACACAGATTTTTTTTTTCAGCATCAAATTTCAAGCACACACAATGTCTTTCAAAATCAGATGAGATAATTATTGTGTTGGGTAATATTCCTTAGAAAATACATTAGTAATAAACTTAAACTAAAGTTCAGCTGAACCGAATGAAAGCCTTGTACAGTAGGAGAAAGCAGTGTCATGATACCCAGGCTCAGGCCACTGAGTTCTCAGCTGTCATGGGAAGAAAAAGCAGCTCCAGCAGAGAACAGGTGTAGACCAACGCAGGAGACTCCACACATGTAAACGGTGCTTGAACAGCAACACAAAGTGTTTCAAATGACAAACTTCACTTGCTCATAATTAGTTTGCTAATAATAGTGATAATTATAATTTACTAGGGTTTTTATTGTCCTAACTGGCTGGAGGGAAATAGAAAAAGTACTTGTACTGTACTTGTATATTTTATGAATTGTTGAAAACTTTTCTACATCTTCTTTTGCTAGTGTGCCTGTGTTGGCAAAATGTTTTACTGCCCCCCAGTGATAACAACCCATATAGGCCTTTGACAATTTTTGTTTCAGTCTTTTCAAGATAAATTGGAAATTGTTTCGATTTGTTTATGTAAATATGTATATATTTTTTACCTATACTTATATACTATATATACATACATTTGTTACATTTCTGGTATATTTAGAGCTGAATAAATAGATAATTTTAGTCCATATGGAAAGAGAGGGAGAGAGAGAGAGAGAAAAAGAGAGAGAGAGGGAGAGACAGGAGAGAGAGAAAGAGAGAGAGAGACAGACAGAGACAAACAACAACTTCCTAGTCCTGGATTTTCTCGCGGTAATACGCCTGCACTTGACTCTCTCAAACTACAAACTCTCGCGATAACTACATGGCTTGTGAATAGTTCCGCGGCGGGGGCCCGACGTTGGAATGCGAAACTACAAGTTGTTTAGGCATAATAAACGCAAAACAAACCTCGACGCAGTACTTAACAAATATCCTGTCTTGCATTCGTGTGTCAGCTATGGTCTGAGACACGCTGCAGATGCTTACCACACGGTAAGTTTTTATCTAGAGCTACGAGCTAAACCGCACGGCTAATTGCTAATTCTTCCTTGTGACAGCTGAGCAGCAACAGCACTGTTAGCTCTAGCAGGGTTAGCTGCTGGACATTTGTCTGATTGATTTAATCCTGTTTAAAGTTCTTGGAAGGATTTGTTTCACTAAACCGGTCAGATATAACGTCACACAGCCTCACAATGGTTGTCACTGTATATTAACGTACTCTTGTACTTTGCATGGTTGGATGTTTTAGTGATGTTCGAAAGCTAACTGGTGTTGATAGTTAGCTTTTTAGTTAGCGATGTGATGTCGTCGTTGCTTGGCGCAACAGTACGGCCAAACACACAATAACAGAAGACTGACACTCTGCTAACACCTAAGTACTAATTTGAATGGACATCACTGACGTTTTTAACTCGTGACTGGGTAATAGCTTTAGTTCCCAGTGATTTCCCCATGAATAAACAGTGCTTCTAATCAAACCCAAGTTGGCATGAAATCACACTGACTGTTTAACTTAAATGTTGGCTAAAATCGTTGATTAAACATGGGGCATTTTGAAGGCCATTTGGGAAAATTATAAGTTCTTTAAATGTTTTTAGTTTAATCATTTCCGTGTTGTGAGAGTTAAGTTAAGTTTTGCTCTGTTATCTTTGCATCATCAGGGGATGAGACGAGATACGACAAAACCCCTGCTGCTGCTGCTGTGGGCTCGTTGACTCTCTGTGTGGACTCAGGATGGCGCAGGGAGGCTCTCAGCTCGACTACCACATCCTGCAGGACCTCAAACAGCGTTTTCCAGAGATCCCTGAAGGGGTCGTGTCTCAGTGCCTTCTGCAGGTATTTACCCATCCAACACAATAACAGCTGCAACAATACACACACATATAAAGAGGTTTTTAGATTGGTAACATTTTGTCATTGTGCATTTACCACATTGTGCAGCTAGAAGTCTCTCAGCTTGTTTTTTAGTGGAGATACTAATATTGATCAGCTTGATTTTGCATTTTTTGGGGTTTTCCTTGATATTTACTGACTTAAAGGGAATAATAATTGCAATGTAAGGCAGAGATCCAAAATGCATGCCCATGACTCTTTGGTTTCTGTCTTAGAACAACAACAATCTGGATCTGTGCTGCCATCTCCTGGCTAAGGAGAGTAATAGGTACCTGTATGGGGACTTTCATCACAGTCCAGAGGAAGGGCGGCTGAGTCGAAACCACATGCTACACATTAGCCTGGGCTACCCAGGATCAGAGGCAAATAAAGCAAATGGAGGAGCTGCAGGAATAGGACGCTCTCTAGTGCACAGCACCAGTGACAGTCATATTGAGCCCCAGAGATCAAGCTACCCAGAGCCACTGTCAGCCCCCGCTACAATGGCCCCCTCCCCAGGATATAATCCTTTCTTTATGAATGACCAGAGCCGCTCAGCGAGCACTCCTACTCCTCCACCCACGATGCAGGGCATGTCGCCCACATACTCCCATGTCCAAGGTTACACCATGAACCCTATAACGGTCACGCTCTCTCAAAGTATACCCAATGTCCCACAAGCTCTGCAGATCCCACCTGGACATTATGCTAACACCTCGAACACCACCTTGTATATCCGACCCTCGCCCTCCCAGAGCCCACAGCCTGCTCCTTGGCCATCTTCAAGTGCATCTGTCTATCAGCATCAGCAGTCCCCATACAGTACTCCTACATATGGCTCTCCTTATAGCTCCCCACAGCATCAAGTTCAAACTCAGCCCCAGGCACAGCCACAACCCCAGCACCAGCAATATGTCTTTCTTCCCATTAGCTCCCCAACTGTTCCCAGCATGCCCTACCATCACCAGCAACAATCCCAGCAACAACAAACTGTTTACAGACCCTACCACACAAAAAGCTCTCTCAAGAACCAGATAGAGATTACCTTGGAAGGTCCACGTCCCCGCAGTAACTCACCAGTTCACGCCTCTCACCCCCAAGGAACACTTTACATAGCCAACAGCTCCTCGCCTAGCTCCCCTTCAAGGGGCATTGCTTTGAGTGGACCTCCAGGGCCAGCTGCCTTTCACCCTGGCCTGTACCTGCAACACCAGGGCCCTGCAAGGCCTCGGCCAGCCTCCTCACCTCAGCCAGGTCAATCAGCCTACACCTTTAAAATCAAAGTGTCGCCTGGAGGTCAGGCCCAAAGGCCAGCCAGTTCACCACCAGTGGCAGAAGCAGAGTCGCTTCTCAACATTGTTGACCACGGGGAGCACAGTGCTGCTCCAGCACCTATTTTACCTATCTCAGCTCTACCAGGGAATATTAGCAGTCAGTTTCAGCAAATGCCCAGACGTACAAGCTCAGGCTCTGATGACTATGCTTATACGCAAGGTAAGTGACTACTTTTGTATTATATGCATAATGGAAAATCTTGCAAATGTTGCTTACTCGTTACTTGGAAAACTTGTGTTTCGTATCTCGAAGCCACACTGTAAGTCATTATGTGTCGTGAATTTAATATTAAGTCATTAAAATGCCTACTGGTAACTGACAATGTATATTTTTTATTTATATATTGAACCATTCTTTTACCGGGGAGTCTCATTGAGAGTCAGC